TCCTTCTGCCTGTCTCTCCTTCAGTGTATTACTTGCTGCTGTGTTTATTTGACTCTTCCTCCAGAAATGACTGACAATGAATGCATCTGATGCTAATGAAATGCCATGTTATTTAAGACTGAAAAAGTGTCAACTTCTTATCTGTAGCACTTAGATTTTGAGACCACAGAGAGTTCTCATGAAATGAAGATGATGAGGAAGGTGGCGGCATTCAATAGTCCAACAGACAAACATTTGTTTATTTATGGAAAGTCATCTTGAAGCCCAGAGAGTGCTAGCAATGGAAATGGTGGAGTGAACTGCACTTTGGTATTTAGGCAATCATAGCTTGAAGATACTGATGATGATTATATCAATAATTTATTGATTGTTGACAGTAGTTTTCCTTTCCAATATGACTAGAAATTTCAGTCTCTTTACTTTCTTTCTTTCTTTTTTTAAGATTTATTTATTTATGCATACAGAACTGGAGTACAGGCGAGAGGTGCAGGGAAGGACTCTTTACCAGAGACAGAGTCAGAAACAAAACAAGCTGATTGGAGGAGAAGTACACTGCTGAGGGGAGCAGCAGGCAGGGCAGGAGAGGTCTGCCACGCCAAGTGGGTTACCTCCAGGGCTGGAGATTGAACTTGCACTGAAGTGGCTGCTGCTAGCTTGCAGTGCTGCATCCTACCCCGCTGCACCACTAGGGAGGGCCATCATCTCTTTTCTTTTTGTTTTCCTAAATCTTGAAGGAATTATTGTGTATACACACACACACACACACACACACACGGAGCTTATATAATTTGTGTTTATTAAAGTTACTTTGTTTTTGTATCGCCCCTATGCATTTGATGGTATTAATGATCTTGTCTTATGAAAAAGGAACAGTAACTTTCTGAGAGACTTCAGGTGCCTGCCTCTCCTTCAGTACATTGCTTGCTGCTGTGTCCTCATGACCCTTTGCTCATCAGGGTCTCTTCTCCCACATGATCACACATACTTATAAATACCATATTTGCAACATATTTGAAAGGAAGATTTTGTCCTCCCCTCAGTGGGGGTGTTACTGGTATCTGGTGTGTAGAGACAAGGGCCGCTACTTTACATATGGAGGATATTTCCCCCTTGACTTGAAACCACAATAGTGCCAAAGTAGAAATAACATGGTGTAGTATACGTGATAATAGAATTAAAACAACAACAACTGTTGTCTTAAGAACATGGAAAGACATTGTGGGAAACATGGGTTTTGATTAACACACCAGGAGCATAAACTTTTAACCCTGTACCTCTTTACCTCCAACCCATCAGGCTTTTATAACTCATAGTGAAATCATTAACTATGCAGCTGCTCATATCAAAAATCTAGGTGGCTTCTTAGATTTATTTGTTCCCACAACCCTTTCTTCAATCAGACTAGTTACTTCTGTGACTCGTTCTCCAAAACATAACCACAATTCATCCAGTTATGTTTTCCACTGCTATCCTCTTCCAGTTATGTTTTCCACTGTTATCCTCTTCCAAGTTACTGCCATTTCTTATCTGGACTACAAAAGTGATCTTCAAATTAATTTTTCTTGATTATATTCATTCTTGAACTTATGAGTGAATTTTCCACATAGCAACCATGATTTCTTTTTTTAATGAAAAAAAGATAGAAATGAGCTCCTTAAAATCACTTTAATCCAGGCCCTTCCTCATGAAGCAGTGGGTTAAAGCACAGCACTAAGAAGCTAAAAGCCACTTCAGCATGAATTTGATCCCTGACCCTGGAGGTGATCCACGTGGCGCTGCAAACCTCTCCTGACCTGTCCTCTGCTCCCGTTAGTAGTGTACTTTGCCTATCTACCTGTTCTGCTCCCTACTCTGTCTCTGGTGAATCCTCTCACCACCCCTGCACCTCTGGGTACCCCAGGTTTGTATGCATAAATAAATAAATCTGAAAAAAAAAATCACTTTAATCCTAGATCCTTAATATGGTCTGCAAAATTGTCAATGTCTAGTTTCCTAAACTCATTCTTCTGGTCCCTATGCTCTCATTCTTACAGGTCTTCTCTATGTTCATTGAAGAAACTAAGCTCATCTCTACTGTACAGACTTTGCAGGCAATTTTCTGTTTTGCATGGAATATCTTCTCCAAATGATGGCCTCTCTTCATAATTTGGGAGATCTAGTTTCACTTTTTCAAAAATACTTGTCTTGAATATGATTACAAAGTAACCTTCAATCACAATGTTCTTTATCCTTATCCCTTTAAGTATTCCCTTATAATTTATCACTGTCTGAATCACTTGTTTCTGCTTTCACTTTTTGTTCCATATTACTGGAATACAAGCTTGATGAAAGTGAGATTCTTGGCTGTCTATAGAACTTAGAGCATACCTGGAATAGAGTTTGGGGATTTTTAAATATTTCTTGAATTGTTTAGGTGTTTTTTCATCTATTACTGGCAGGAGTTAGTTAACAATATTAATACTTATTAAAGTATTCATATGTGCACAGGACACTGATGAGTTAAAACTGATTAGTTTTAAAGGAACTTGTTAAACTTACATATTTGATAAATGAACCGTTTTTTGACATGAAGAAAAATTGGCCTGAGGAAAGTTAGTCTTTCTAGAAGTAAACTAAAAAATCAAATTAGCAGATAAAACTACATTCAGTGAGATAATTCTATTAAATATTAATGTTAGAAGAAAGCTAATTACAATGATAATTTTAAATGCATAAATCCTTTATTTGTTATAGAAGTTTCATAGAAAAAGATCCATTCAGTGAAAAATGTTCAGAAGAAAATTTTAAAAAAAGAGAAATTATTTAACAATTTTGGGTAGAATATTCTTCAGTGAATTCAAATACTTCATGTTAGAAAACACATTTTTTTAAAATTTATTTATTTATGAGTACAGGCCAGAGGTACAGTGAGAGGATTTACTAGAGTCAGAGTGGGGAACAGAACAGGCAGACTAAAGAAGTACACTGCTGAGGGGAGCAGTGGGTGAGGCAGAAGAGGTCTGCCACACCATGTGGGTCACCTCCCTGTCCAGGGATTGAACTCACGTTGCAATGACTCTGGATAGCTTCACAGAGCTGCACTTTGACCTGTTGCACCAGCAGGGAAGACCCAGAAAACACATTCTTAATGAAAATTTCCTGATGTTTGAATACTTTCATTATAGTTTTATATTCATACATATAAAGAAACAAAGTAATGATATTCTGTAGACTTTATATTTTAAGACTTCTATTTGGTTAATTGAAATTTGAGTAATTTGGGAGTAGTATTGTGTTTTGTTTTGTTTTTTTTTTAATTTAGGTTTTAAAAGCTTTCTATTTTCAGTGAACTTTAGAGTCACAGGAAGCATTATAAAAATACAGCATACCTTATACCTGTCATGTAAACTCTTGTAGCAACTTAGATAATAACAATGCAGTTATTAAAACTTGGAAATCAAACACTGGTGCAATGTGCTACAGAACTTATTCCTATTTCAATGTTTTTTGTTTTGTAAAGTCTGCTGTCTTTTCTCCCATATTATATTTGTTTGTTTGTCTCTCTCTTTTTATACCTCAAATTATAAATTTCTCAAGCTTTATTTTCATAATCTTGACACTTTTCATATATACTGGTCACTTATTTTTAGACTATATTTTAATTTATATGTGCCTGATATTTTCCCATTATTAGACCTTTGGTAGCTTTTGTTTTAGTTACATGTGTCCTTTCACTACATTATATTGTGAGGTCATGATACCTGTATATCTTATGGCTGGTAATATCAACCTTGATCACCTTTTTGAGTTGATACATGCTGGATTTTCTATAAAATTATTATTTTTCTACTTGTGTTTGTTTAAGTATCTTACAAGAGATACTCAATACTTTGATACTCAAACCTAGCATTTTGAAATCTTGGTTTCTGAGTACAATTTATTATATCATTTACAATCCAGAGGACTGTTTATTATCCAATAAAGAAAAGTAAAGTACACATAATAGTTTCTTTAAAATGCTTTATGAAGGCCCTCTCTGGTGGTGCAGCAGGTTAAAGCACAGCACTAAGAAGCTAAAGCCATTTCAGCATGAGTTCAATCCCCATCCTGGAGGGGACCACATGGCCAGGCAGACCTCTCCTGACCCACCCACTGCTCCACTCAGCAGTGTACTTCATCAGCACTGTTCTTTTCTCCTCTCTGTCTCTGGTGAATCCTATCACTGCACCTGTGCCTCTGGCCTATATCCCAGTTACGTATGCATAAATAAATTTTTAAAAAATGAAAAAAAAAAGAAAAAAGTGCTTTATGAAGTTTTTCTATGATGGATATTAAAGAAATTGTTATTCAAGGTATGTTATTGAAGGGAACACGATTGAAGAAAAAAGTTTTTCTCAGTTTATTAATGATGTTTATATATTAATATATTACTGTTTATAACATTTATAACAATCTATTTATATATTAATGGAAGAGATGTTGGCTTGAAAAACAAACAAAAACAAACAAAGCAGCTCTCAGCTATTCCTCCTAGCACTTTTTACCTATTGAATTCTACTAACATTTTGAGGATTGTTTCAACAGTCCCGTTAGAAATCATTCCTAATCATCTATGATTTCTCCCTCTTTGTATTCCATAAGCATTTTGTGCTACTTCTTGGATGGCAGCACCTGTGTCTTGTCTTTAAATTTTCAGCAGCACCCAACAGGTATCTTATGTATAATAGATTATCAGAAAATATGTATATGCTGATACTTAATGTTGTACAAATTATGAATAAGAAAGATAAACAAGATCAGGCATTTGTTAGCTTTCCTCTGCACATAATTTACTAACTGATTAACTTGTTAAAAGATTGACAGAAGTAATGTTAACAAATCTAAGAAACAATATTTGCTCAATAAGTAAAAATGATTGTATCCTTGGAGAGTTATTAAACTGTGATACTTGGCTGGGGGAGAAATGTCTCTGCATCTTCTTTACACTCACTAACTTCATGCCTTTTCCTTTTCCCCTTCAGTTGCCTGGGTTCACATCTAAGCTTATTCCAGCTATCCAGAATGCCCATGAGAACTCCCAGGAATCTGGAAGAGAAAAGGAACTGATGGTGTTAACTGAACCCATTTTGATTGAAACCTACACAGGACTAATGTCATTCATTGGAAACCGCAACAAACTTGGCTATTCCCTTGCCCGTGGGAGTATTGGTTTTTAAAACACTTTTCAGTGTCCAAGTACACAGATATGTCATCAACGAAGACTCCTTTTCTTTTCAGCTCACCACAGTTTTGGATTGAAACACTTTTAACAGAATAATCACATTTTCTTAAAACAGGAAAAAAAATAACCTAATCTGATCCCATCAAATAATGTTATCAAATAATAGCTGACCATAAACTCAGTTCAGATTCTCTGCTTCTTGTCCTTCTATCCTCTAAAGAGACAATTTCCATGTCTTGATCTTGAATTTTCTGATCCTGGTTTTCTCCCCCATCGGGATCTCACTATATCATTTTAACTATCTGTTTTATTCGGAATGACTTCCAAATCCATATTCCTACCCCTGAGGTTCCTTAGAAGAGTCACTTCAATTTTCTGTTTCTGTTTGATAGTCATCTATATCAGTTTTCCAATGAGCACTCACATTCAGTATTTTCAAAATGTTGGATTTCCCTGGCATTTTTATGGCCCCAGTTCCCCATTTCTGAACCTAAACAGTATTTGTTTTATTCTGTTTGGTGCTATAACAACACCACAGAAAGGACAATTTATAAGCAATAGACATTAATTTCCCATAGTTCTGGAGCCTGGGATTTTAAGATCAGGATACCATCATGGTCAGTAAGGATCCAGTTCTGGGTTGCAGACTTCTTGACTATGTATGGTGAAGGGGCAGGAAACCATCTTGCACCTTTTTTCCTAAAGGCACTAATCCTATTCCTGAGAGAACACTGTCCTCATAACCTAATCATTTCTCAAAGGAAACTTCTGTTACCATCACATTGATTTTAAGGGTTTCAACATATGAAATCCAGGACCACATTAGTAACATGTTGTCATGTAGTTTAACACGAACCTCAATAACTAGGTGTCAAATTTAAGGCTCATTCTTTTCATAATTGTTGATATATACTCCTCCTTTCTATCCTCAGAGCTATATTACTGTATCAGGCTTTTAATTCTGTTTTGGGTAATTTCCATACCTTTTCATTGGCATCTCCACACTTCACTGAGCTCATTCTAACCCATTTTGGACTTGATTGCCAGATTCCTAAAACATAATTTTATCATATCACTCCCTGCTCAAGAACTGCGAATGGTTGATCTCTCTTCTTTCCCACATTTTTCTTTCAAGAGTAAATCCTTTCCTTCTATGTGATTTTTTCCCAAAATGTAAAAGAAAAAGATGTAGGTCACTTTGAAGTGGACATAGAAATGCCACTGGCCTCCTTTTTTTTTTTTTTTGGCTCAGAGTTCCCTATGTGTCTGTGATTTTGAGGCTTTTGAGGAATATGTTTCATTCTCCTGAATTACTCTGTTTCCATTGCTCTTTTCTTTCATTTCCTCTTCGTTTCTCCCTACCTGAACTCTAACTTCAAATAATTCAATAGTTTTCTCATCTGTTCTCATTATTTAAGTTCTTTTCTTTCTAACTTATTACTTTCTTTTCTTTTTAACTTATTTGAAAAAAATCTTTAATGCTAAACACCAGAAACATTATTACAATCAACATTTTGTCTGTCCCAAGATCCCAACTTGAGATATTTTAGTTGGTTTTAGCTAAAAATTCCAGCCAATTTAAAAAGTAACTGGCTTATGTAGCACCTACTTTCAATGTTTTTCTTTTCTTTTTTCTCAGTTCCAAAGATTTGTCTGTAATACTTCATAGACATCAATTTGATGTAGAGTTTAAACCCCATACCCTGAGTAATCTTTATTTCATTTTACTTTTGTTTACCTCTATAAAAATTTCTGTCTCCCTCTCATTCCCCTCCCCAGAACCCAGTTTCCCCACATCATGGCAAATATTGCTACAGTCCTTAAGGCAGGGGACTTCTATTCAGACTGTAAAAGGAAATGTTGAAATCTTTAGCTGTCCTGTCAACAGTAGTGGAATGAAAAGTCGTTGGATTGTTTTGGCAGTGGTTCTGCAGCAGGTATAATTGGCAAATTGTTATATAACTCTGCTGCCCCCAAATCCCCATTTGCCTCAAGATAGTGGCATTTCTTGGCATAAGTCTCCGAAATGTCCAGCACATTCTTTCGAGTCACCATTTAAGGATCAGCCTGACAATTGACTTCTCTCTGCACATTTGTCCCCCTTATTCTCTAAGATGGACAGTTCCCAAATGACCTTCCAAAAGACACAGTACAGCATTGTCAGTAGAAGAAGATCATAAATGTAAGAAGAGGGAACTCTCTTAGCTCTGCGTTCCAGTCTTCAATAAGAACATGTCATTTAATGACATCAAAGCTGTTTAGTATAGAGAAGAATGAACTCAGAGATGGCTTGGTATATTTCTTCATATTAAACAGACTGCCTAGTAGGATCTGCTATAAATTGATAAATGGACTGAGAAAGCAGGGTCATGGCCAGTGGATGGGAAGGGATTTGTAGATGGCAATGTAAGAATTTCTTGTAAGTGCATAGTTTGAAGTCTCAAGCTGTCGCCAGCTACTGCAGCATGATTTCAATCCCCAGCCAGGGAGGTGATGCACATAGCACAGCTGACCTCTCCTGTCTTAATTGCTGTTCCCCTCAGCAGTGTGTTTTAGTAGATCTGCCTGTTCTGCTCCCCACTCCGTCTCTGGTGAATCCTCTCACACCTAACTTCACCTCTGGCCTACACACTAGTTCTTCTATGCATAAATAAACAAAATAAATTTTAAAAAAAGTTTTACAGTTAGAAATGGCCAAATTTGGGATGTGTTGCTCCTTGAAATTGTGATTTTCCCCCTTTACCTGATATACTCATATAGGGACTAGGTAAAGTAGATATTGTAAATGGATTGTTAGAGAAATGATTGATATAATCATTTAAACTATGAGTCATGATTCGTCAAATAATTGTTGATACTGTTTAAATAATTAGACTTCCGTGTTAGAAAAAAATGAATTAGTTACATGAGATACTGGAGAATTACTTTAACTTTCTTAAGGTTTCATTTCTTCATCTGCAAAACAGAGACAATGATATCTCTACTGCCTACTTCTTATAAGATCTATAAGGAATCAACGAAATGAAGTTAAATTATTTTATAAAATAAAAAGCATTTATCACTGTCTATAGAGTAAAATGGCTGTTGCATCAGGAAGAGGGACAACATCCAAGGGAACTAAATTCAATTCCTTCTAAGAACTGAATCTCTTCATGATCATTGCCTCACTTGACATTTGGGGTCCTTGTCCTTTAGCTCAGCAGGCAACATCAAACCAGAGAAACTGTATGTAATTTTGGACTTTTCCTTTAGATTATTATCTGAGCTATACCAAAAAAAAAAAAAAAAGTTTGCAAATGGTCACAAAGATTTGACTAGGAATAGAATTAGGCAGAATAGGCATTAAGTACAAGGCATATAATATCATTATATAAATGCCATGTTGGCCATCCTTATCTGATTTTTATCCCCTTAAGAAATCCCCATTAGAAAATCCCTAAGAATTCTCCTTCAGAAACTGCCTAAGCAGCTCTATCAACAGATTACTCAGAGATTTCTTAGGATGTTCTAATGGTCAGAAAATCTTCCTGTTGACTTACACTCTGCCACATCATTTGCCATCTCTTTCTTTTAAAAAAAAATTCAGATGCTATAGTAGATTCAGCTTGGGTTTTCATCACAAGATGTGGGACATTTGGGTACAGAGCCAAGATTCATTGATTCTTTACAATTTGCAGGATGACAGCTGTTTAGATACATAATGCTTATTCCTAGAGGATAGTTGGGCCTCTTTGGCCATCCTCCAAGGCAGAGAAGAGAAACAGATATATGAGTTTTAGATACTTTGCCTTGAGGTTAATTCTTATTTTCTCTATCCCCTGAGAAAGTCTGTTTACAGGGCTGTGAGGCTAAGGAAGCATAGAAACTATCTAACCCAATACTTTAATTTCACAGAACATGAAGCAAATACCTAGAAGCTGCAAAAAATAGTTCAAAAAGCAGATAGTGATTTTTTTTTTTTGTAGTATTAGGACTAGTTTGTAAAGCTTCCAATTTCCTATTCCTGGTCCACAGCTGGTTCAACATATCTCCAGTCCCAGGGAATGGTGTAACATATAAATCAATGCATCATATTTTGGGGTTATTTCTGAGGTGAGAAAACAATAGGTCACCGTTGTTTAGGGGGGATTTCCAAAAATTGCCTGTGTTTTCATAAAAACTAAGGTCACTCATAGAGCTCTCTGATTTCCTATCTGATCGAAAAGCCCAAACAAAGCTGCGGAAGCCAGCAGAGCCAGCAGCTATTTTATAAAGCAGCTTTAGCTCTTGCCTGGCATTTTGTGGGGCAGGAGAGGGGAGGGCAAAAGTATTAAATTTAGGCTTAAAAGCTCCTCAGAAATTCTTTACACAGAAGAGACCAAGTTAGAGAATAACAGATGACTCGTGCCAACGGGAAGAAAGAGAGAGACTAATGCCTGTGGTTTTCAAAGGTTAACAACAACAAAAAAAGCCCAAGTATTTGCACAGGGATGAATGCTCATTGGCTGTTGGCCAACAATTATACAAGGGTTTGTGCCCACATCCTGTAGCTGTGGTTTAGGGACGCTGCTCATGAGTGACTTCTTTGCTTAGTGGCAGGAAACTTTAGTCACTGATGTGTAAACTCACCCTAGTTCTGCACCTCCCACCACGTGCTCCCAAAGCAGTTAGGGCCAGACCTCCTGATTTCCTTGCAAATACCAGTTCCTCAAGGGTGAAAGATGAACTCTAACACCTTGATAGTAACAGCATGGATCAGTACTTACTTTAAACCTATTATGGCACCCTCTTAGAGTAATTCTGTAGTCGTGAGGAGGAAATATGCTATCCATCCTCTCCTGAACCCTTTCTTTAGCCTCAAACCCAATACAAAAAAAGATTGAGCTGCATTACATTTCTGAACTGCAATCAATGTGAAACATGAGAGGTGAAGTCATGAGGTTGCTTTTTGAGTCTAGATCTTATATCTAATGAGCTATTTTATACTCATTTTTAAAAGTTATTGGTAAATATCTT